CCATTGTACCCTTGACCTTACTCTTGCAGCCTCTGCAAGATTATTATAATAAGTTTGAATTTCTGATGTAAGTTCTAAAAGTTCCCTTTCATTATATATTGAACCCATATCCTTTTTCCTTTGCAATTCTTTTAATTTTGATTCTATTGTTTTTATATATGTTTTTGGTTTATTAACTATATGACTACATGTAACACATAATTGTCGTATTTTTATTTTTGTAAGTTCCCACCAGTTCATTTTACTTTCATAGTCCTCTATATTTTTTTTCCAATTGTTCCAAAAAACTTTAAACATTTCTTTGAAACAATCTGATTTTATTATATCAAAATTCATCTTCCAGTATCCCTTTCCTCTTTCAATTTCATCTAAATTGAGAATCACAACAGGTGAGCCATAGTGGTCATTTTCTGTAAAGGGACATCATTCTATACTGGAATTTATCATCATGTGATCAATTGATTTGCTTGTTAGAAAATAATCTATTCTTGATTGTTTCCTCCCTCTTTTGAAGGTATATGATTTTAATCCTGGGTTTCTGTACGCCATTGTTTTTAATCTTTTCCAGTTTATTCTTCTTGAAATAATAATTTTGCTTCTGTGCATGTGTCAAACATTGCTCGAAGCCATTATCTGAGTCTGGAGAAGAATTCCAAGATGGCCAAAACCCAAACTGTCATAGTATCAAACTGTCATTTCGAAGTTATAATGTCTATCAAGTTTCAATGATTTCCAATTGAAAATGAACCAAATATATCCGAAAGTATCATTTTCTTTGTATAACTATAGTAAACTTTACCCTATCCCCAGGTGATAAAGTGCTTTAAGACCCTTCTATCTATATAGATTATTTGTTTCCAGCATATCTTGGTCTGGATAAGAATTTTTAATTTAAGCCAATTTGATCTCATTTAGCCTGCCCCTCTGGAGTCTGGGGTCATAAAGTTTACAATTTTAATAAAGCACCTCAAGACCCTTCCATCTATGAAGAGTATTGGTTTCCGGCCTATCTCAATCTGGAGAAGATGACTGTTGAAATTTCTGGCTATATGACCCCATTTAGGCTCCGCCCCTCAGCCCCTGGGGATGAGACAGGTTTAAAAATGTCAAAGTATCAAACTGTCATCTCATGGTTATAATGTAAATCAAGTTTGAATGATTTCCAGTAGAAAATGAACAAAATAAACCCAAAAGTTGCTTTTTCCTATATAAACTATAGTAAATTTCAGCCCCTTGATAAAGTACCTCAAGACCATTTCACCTACAAAGAGTATAGGTTTCCAGCATATCTAGGTCTGGAGAAGAAGATTTTTTAAATTTAAGCCAATTTGACCCCTTTTAGCACCGCCCCTCAGAGCCCCTGGGGTTTTGAACCATATAATTCACAACTATGGTGCATATTTGACCAAGGAAGGTTCCTGCAAAATTTTATTGAAATCGGATCAGCGGTTTCTGAGAAGGAGTCGAAAATGTAGGTTGTTTACGGACGCACAATGGCCAACGCACGACGCCGGACAAAAGGTGATCGCAATAGGTCACTTGAGACTTTGTCTCAGGTGACCTAAAAATAGAACACTTTCACAATTTTGAACCATCATTTTTTTATAAGATCAGTTGAATAAAATGGAAATGGAACACATCAAAGATATCATTTATCTAAGAAAAAAGGAAGCAATAGCAAAATACGACCAATTAAAATATCTAATGCACAATCCCTGCACCCCCCCAAATAAAAAGAAACTAACGTACGACTAACGCTATTGCCTACATTTTAGATATCGAACTAGTAATAACATCCTGTGTGAAGACAATACTAATTCCAATCACTTCCATGAGAACGGTTCAATTATCAAATTTCACATTGTTGACTACACACCTGGGAATGTCACATTTTGCACGTGCTAATAAAGCGTCTACACGATGAAGACTAAGAGTTCGTAATAAAGTTTTCGTGTGTTGGTGCTGTTCTATGAACGTGAAAGACCGATGATATAGATATAGGATTTATTTTAAGTATTTTCAGCAATATACCTTGTATTTTGGATTTCGTGAATGTGTCATAAGTAACAACCAGATTGGCAGTGTGGTGGTGAGTATGTTTGATTTTTGATATCGGTTGTTTGTCGATCAGGGTGCGTGGTGCATTGAATCGCAAGACAGTCAGTTGTAGAATGATAACTGGTTTGACAGGTAATGCGCTCTTAATACCCAGCACGACCAATACTTGTTACCAAGTAAGGACAAACTAAAATGTCCACACTTCCTTAGAAATGATAGTCGGAACAGATGGGGAAGAGCTCAAAGCCAGAGGAAAAAAAAACAGAAAAAAAAACTTTTTCATTTCATTTTTGCCAGAAAAATATTGGATTCTATCAACTTGATAAAACTGATATCTTTCAAAGTGACAAATATCAAAAGTATTGGTATCTTCTATTCGCTGCATTCAAAGGCAACACGTTTTTGTTCAGATTCAAATGAAGCAACAGAGAATAAGTGGTCGTCATGGATAATGTTCGGTACACACACTGAAGTATTTACACAAGTATACAATTAATATTTTTTTATAAGCAATCATAACAGAAAGTTGAGTATCCCATTCAAAATGGCGCACAGCCTTGTTGTCAAGCGTGACGTCATTAGAATATGGCGTTAATTACTATGCTTCTGATTCCTGCCCTTTTTTAATTCAGGTTCATGTTTTATGCTTTAACAAGAGTACCACGGGGCGGAACAATATACGCCCGTCGAATGCCATATAGTGTTATATACTTTCTTACATTGAAATAAGATCTGCATCATTCAAAAATTGGTTAGCTGACATGCTATAACAAGAGGCCCAATGGGCCTGCATCGCTCATCTGGTATAAATCTCACACTTGTAACCTTAAAAGTGATCTAAAATAAAGCTACAGGCAAAATATCAGTATTTATGATTAAAATTCATTCAAAAGACCCTGTTAAGGTTTTTTTAAACATTTCACCCCTGTGATTGAAAGTCGAACAAATTTTATAGCCTTTCATCTCAGGATGCAATTTGTAAAGTATCAACATCCTGGGACCCATGGTTATTCAGAAGAGGTCGTTCAAAGATTTTAAACAAATTTGACCCCTGTGACCTTGAATATAAGTCAAAGTCATTCACTTTAACAAAATAGTAGTCCTTGATCCCAGCATGCTACTGACTAAATATCAACATCCTGAGCCTTTTGGTTATTCAGAACAAGTTGTTTAAATATTTTGAACATATTTGCTCCTTGTGACCTTGAATATGATTCAAGGTCATACATTTAAACAAACTTGGTAGCCCTTGATCCTAGTATGCTACTGACTAAATATCATCACCCTGGGCATTTTGGTTATTCAGAAGAAGTTGTTTAAAGTTTTTAACATATTTGACCCCTGTGACCTTGAATATGGGTGAAGGTCATTCATTTGAACAAACTTGGTAGCCCTTCACCCAAGCATGCTACTGGCCAAATATCATCTCCTTGGGCAGTTTGGTTATCGAGAAGAAGATGTTTAAAGTTTTTAACATATTTGACCCCTGTGATCTTGAAAATGGGTGAAGGTCATTAATTTTAACAAACTTTGTAGCCCTTCATCCCAGTTTGCTTCTGGCCAAATATCGACACCCTAGGCCTTTCGGTTATTAAGAAGAAGTCGTTTAAAGTAAAATATTGACACCGGACGATGGAAGCCGCGCCACGGCATAAGCTCACTTGGCACTTCGTGCCAGGTGAGCTAAAAATGTAGGAGAAAATCTCTGGATAAAAAAATCAAATACTGAAATGAACAAAGGGCAATTACTTTTGCAAGAATTGTCGAATCAAAATTCTTGTCCAGGAAACACAACAACATATCGTGATTATTTAGCCTACTAAGTTTCAAAGAGATCCGTTGAAAAATGTAGAAGAATGCCGGACAAAAATCAAATACTGAAATGAACAAAGGGCAATAACTTTTGGAAAAATTGTCGAATCAAAATTCTTTTCAGGGAAACACAACCTCATATCATGAATATAATGTATACCAAGTTTCAAAGAGATCGGTCGAAAAATGTAGGAGGAGATTGCCTGACAAAAATCAAATACTGAAATAAACAAAAGGCAATTACTTTTGCAAAAATTGTCGAATCAAAATTCTTTTCAGGGAAACACAACTTCATATCATGATTATAATGTATACCAAGTTTCAAAGAGATCGGTCGAAAAATGTAGGAGGAGATTGTCGGACAAACAAAAGTTTACGCCGGATGAACGGACAACGCCATACCATAATATGGGCGAATAAAAATGTAATAAATAGAAAATTTAATGGTGTCTTCAGTAATAACAAATATATTTCACTCGTGTGGCTGATATTTTGATATTTTTCATGAGTGCGCAGTAACAAAAATTAGCAACACTCGTGAAATATATTTGTTATTACTTTAGACACCATTAAATATCCTCTATCTATTTAATCTCAATCAAAAGCTTTTTAACTTGCACTGTCAGCTTTAAGTTGGAACAGACCTGATTGGTCTAGATCACAGCATGCTGCTTGTAAATGTCATCATCCTAGCTTTCTTGGTTATTGGTTTTATAGTAAAAGTAAGTTCAGTAAAATTACCTCTTTATTACTAGTTATTTTTTTTATGTTTATTATGTTAAAATCTATTCATTTTTTTATGTTTATTATGTCTATTCATTTCGTAAAATTATCTCTTCATTTAATGACAGTGTATTGCTTATTGTCTATTTGCTTTATTTTTGTCTGTTTATACTATAAATTTATTGATTATTTATCCGAAAATGTACAATTCAAAATAGCTGATTTATAAGTTTCTGTGTCTGTTGGAAAAATAAGTATTTTCTACCTCTGTGGTAGCTCATGAATAAGAAGTTAAATGTGGTAGTGATACATGCACTAGTTATGTCAAGTCAAACATCTTATATGCAGATTTATAAACACCAGAGGACTGAGTAGAGCTGACAATGATTCAGTAGCACTAGCTTTACCTTTTTCTCTGCTGTTGGTAAGTTCAGAGGCCTTCCTGATTGGTCAGCAATCTGGATATCATAGTCACCTGGAAATTATTATGATAATGGTTAAATGAAGATAATACTTGTCATTCAGGTATTTCTTTTCACGCAAGTAAACTATTTTCCTAAAATCCCTCTGGCAATTTGTTATTTGATTCAGTTTCTGTTTTTTGTGTTTTTTGATACGCAGTTATGATAGCGACTTAATTTATGTGACTTTGAATAATTTAATGGTAAAGGTTATTTATTATCACAAACCATGCAGCATATCTTGATAGTCCAAATTTCTGAATTCCAAACCTTTTGGTTCTTCAGAAAAAGATGTTTGAGCATTTTAACCCTCTAATACTTCACAATATACTGAAAAGTGCCCCCGTTTTAAAAACTGATTTTGTTTCCCTGCACCAACACTATGGTACATTTACTAAATGGGTTCTATATACCAAATACAACATAATGTATCAAAAACAAGAGGCCCAAAGGGCCTGTATCGCTCACCTGAATATGATTAAAATAATTGGTATGAAGTAAAGATATAGCATTCCATGGTAGGTGCTGTAAGTAAATATGAAATTTCAGAAAGATCCGTCCAGTACTTGAGATGTAGCGAGAACAAACTTCAAACAGAGCCCCACCCCTATGCCCCTAGGGGGGGGGGGTCATACCAATTATACAAAATTGAGTCCCCTTGGCCCAAGGATGCTCCAGACTAAATAAGGACAAGAGGCCCATGGGCCTTAACAGTCACCAGATATATTTATACAGAGAGTTGATTTTGTTTTTAACACGAACAGAAATATTATTCAGTGACAAAAAACAATCAAACCACCTTATTCAATATCTAGTATATAGATTTAAGACTAAAAAGTATTTGAAACTAGCACCTCTGATTCTAAACAAGGAAATGAAGAAATTTTAGCACACTGACTCCTTTGGGCCCCACCCTACAGCCCTTGGGGTAGGGCTGGCTCAAGATATTCAAAGTATCATTTGCCATTATAAACCATAATAAATTTTGCCCCCCCCCCTCCTTCCCCAGGGGGTAAACGTGAGACCCTAGGGTCATAAATCTTAAGACCCTTCCATCTATGAAGAATGTTTGATTGTACCATATCAGGGTCTTTGAGAAGAAGATTTTTGAAATTTCAGTCAATTCAACCCTTTTTGGCCCCACCCATCAGCCCCGGGTCAGTCAGGGCTCATATGTGCATACCATCAAACTGCTATCCAATACTGATAATGCTAACCCAAATTGAATTACTTCCAATGAAAATTAAACAAATGTTGGTCCAAAATGTGGTTTCCCTATAAAAACTATAGTAAAGTTTACCCCTCCCCAGGGGTAAACGTGAGATCCCAGGGTCATAAAATTCACAATTTTGGTAGAGCACCTTAAGATCATTCCATCTATGAAGAGTGTTTGATTCTACCATATCTGGGTCTTGAGAAGAAGATTTTTGAAATTTCAGTCAATTCAACCCTTTTTGGCCCCACCCAATAGCCCCGGGGGGTCAGTCAGGGCTCATATGTGCATACCATCAAACTGCTACCCAATACTGATAATGCTAACCTAAATTGAATTACATCCAATGGCAATTAAACAAAAATTGGTCCAAAATGTGATTTCCATATATAAACTATAGTAAAGTTTACCCCCTCCCCTGGTGTAAATGTGAACACCCAGGGTCAAGAAATTCACAATTTTGGTAAAGCACCCTTCAATCTATGAAGAGTATTGAAGAGAAGATTTTTGAAATTTTAGTCAATTTGACCCTTTATGGCCCCGCCCCTCAGGTCCCTGGGGGCCGGGGACCAAACTGTCAACAATTTTTGTTGACCTTTGGCCATGGAAGGTTTCTGCAAAATTTCATTGAAATTGGTTCAGGGGTTTTGGAGAAGAAGTCGAAAATGTAAATTGTTTACGGACGCATGACGTACGACGGATGACGTACGACGGACGATAGGCGATCGCAATAGGTCACTTGAGACTTTGTCTCAGGTGACCTAATAAAATCCCTTAATCCTAATGGTCGAAGAAGGATTTTAAAGGTTTTATCTCGATTTCTCCTATTGGGCCCCGCCCTTCTGCCCCAAGGGGGGCCACACTCGCTGTTTATACAAAATTGAGTCCCTTTTGCCCAAGGATGCTCCAGACTAAATAAGAATAAAATCTCTTAATCCCTATAGTAGAAGGATTTTAAAGATTTTACCTCTATTTCCCCTATTGGGCCTTGCCTCTCCAGGGGAGTCAGACACATTATCTATACAAAATTGGTTCCCTTTCACCCAAGGATGTTTCATACCAAATTTCGACAAATTCCTATCATTCCTACATAAGAAGAAGGATTTTGAAAAAATTGCTATATTTCCCCTATTAAGCCCCTCCCTTCTGCCCCCAGGGGGGCCACACTCGCTGTTTATACGTAATTGAGTCCCTTTTGCCCAAGGATGCTCCAGACTAAATTAGGATAAAATCTCTTAATCACTATGGTAGAAGAAGGATTATAAAGGTTTTACCTCTATTTCCCCTATCGGGCCCCCAACCTCAGGTCCCAGGGTGGCCACACCCACCATTTATACAGAATTTGTTCCCCTTTACCCCAGGATGAGCCACACTAAATATGGACCAAATCCTTTCATCCCTACAGAAGAAGAAGGATTTTAAAGAAAAATTTGCTATGTTTCCCCTATTGGGTCTCGCCCCTCAGCCCCCTGGGGGGCCAGACCCACGGTTTACTTTATACAAAAATATTTACATTTGGTGTGGCAAAGCCCTTCTATATTACTACTAAAGTACTGCCGATAGCAGCTTCATCTTATGAGACTATAACTGAAGTTGGTCTTTGCACCTCCGAGCGACTTAACTGCCGAACTTATCGATATCTTCTGCTTTGATCCCGAACATCAGCTGCCTGTCTTAAGTGTCTGTGAGATCAACAAACACATTTACGCCTGGATTTTTCACCAATTCAACCTTCTCCGGTTGCACGATCAACATCAACATGCCGGACTGCAAATATAACTCTGACCTGATTACTGCAGGCTTCCGTTGATTGCGTGCGCTGGATATAGGTCGCGACAAATTCGGAAAATGTTTTACGACACTTGATTAGATACTTTCAAAATGTTATTTGTTACTATTTTATGAAATGACAATATGATATGTATATAAATTAAAAAACAAATGAATTATTAACGAAAGTTGGGTAGCCTTTTCAATTTTGTATGGTAAATAGCGCGTTCTAGATATTGACCTGACCTGACGGTAATAAGCGGGAAATTTGAAAGTTGGAAAAGATAAAATATTTTTTGCGAATTCTCATCACGGAAATATAAATATAAGCAATAAACTGCATAGATGTGGCAGACCAAAAGGGATAACTGCCACATGTGTCACGGACAAACTTACCATGGTGCGCTAGCAGTTATACCAGTTGTTCTGCCACATCTATGCAGTTTATTGCTTAATTGATTTCCCTTCACCAAAGGATGCTTCAGACCAAATATGGAACAAATCCTTTCATTCCTACAGAAGAAGGATTTTAAAGAATTTGCAATCTTCCCCTATTGGGCCCCGCCCCTCAGCCCCCAGAGGGGCAGGACCCACCATTTATACAAAATTGAGTCCCCTTGGCCCAAGGATGCTCCAGACTAAATTAGGATAAAATCCTTTAATCCCTACGATAGAAGAAGGATTTTAAAGGTTTTACCTCTATTTCCCCTATTGGGCCCCAACCCTCAGCCCCCAGGGGGGCCAGACCCACCATTTATCCAAAATTGAGTCCCCTTGGCCCAAGGATGCTCCAGACTAAATTAGGATAAAATCCTTTAATCCCTACGATAGAAGAAGGATTTTAAAGGTTTTACCTCTATTTCCCCTATTGGGCCCCACCCCTCTGCCCCCAGGGGAGCCACACCCACCATTTATACAAAATTGAATCCTCTTGGCCTAAGGATGCTCCAGACCAAATTTAGTCAAAATCTAAATGGCCGTTCAGGACTAGTAGCGTTTTAAAGAAAAAGTTGACAGACGGACGGATGACGGACGGACGACAGACGCTGCAGTATGGCATAAGCTCACCATGGTCCTCTGGACCAGGTGAGCTAAAAATTATCCATTTGCTTGTTTGTTACAAGGAAACTTTACATGTGCCTCAAATTTCGCCACTTTTTACCACTTATGGGCTTCTAACAAATTTGGTTGTAATTGGCCTAGCCAGAGTTTCCTCAGACTGGCTCGGTCAACAGACAGAGACATTTTGAAAGATAGATGCCTGGTGTGGGGCCAGAGCGCACTACTATATGAAAAATTGGAATTCCCCGACACCATTTGGTATGTCGGAGAGTGGATTTGGATCAATATAAATATACATGTATACCATTTATCGATATATGTGAGGTAATAGTGTTGTATCATAGAAGAGTTTTGTTGTCTGCACCTCAAAACTCTGGTGACAGGGCCAGAGGAACCTCTGGCTATAATTAGCCTTGTGGTTCTCAAGAAAAAAGTTCGAAGAAAATTTTACTGACAGAGGACAGACTATGAAAGATTGATTGCAATAGATCACTTGGCTCTCTGGGCCAGTTAAGCTAAAAAGCTGTTAAATTGAGATTGAAATTTAACTTGATGAAAAGATTTTAAAACATTCTAGCTTTTGTAAGATGAACACATAGCTGCGACCATTACCTGTCTCTGCATTGTCAGAGAGAAGTTCTGCTGCCTTACGGGTGTCAATCATCCTGGCTACATCCTCCTGTTGCCTAGCAGTCTCAGCCTGGCTCATGGACAGACAAAGTCCCATTATCTGACAGCCATGCTAAAAAATGTTCAAATACAGTTTGTAATACTGTATAGTCGTTTAATTTTGCAGGTATAATATATTTCATGTTTTTCTCAATCAGATCCAGTTTGCTGGGATTAAATTCTGCACAACATGGCCAAGTAAAAATACCTTTGTATTTGGGTGATGAAATTCATTTACCATTTTTTTTGTGTATACATGTATATACTCAGGGAGATTATAACACGTGATATGTGATATTAATGTTTGCTGGATATCATTTTGTGCTATCTTTGATGACCACCAATATAACAAAATTAAATACTCACTGAATATTACTGACTATACAGTAAGTAACCTAGCTTTCCATTTACCAAGCACCTATCTTTCTCTATACCATTGAGACAACAGACCTTTACCCAATTGTATTTTTACATCAATGACTTGTTCCCTATTTCCTATCCTAACAACAAACTTTGATAGTATACAGCTTTTTTTTTTTTCATTTGAAGAAAATATAGCGCTCATTTGCTGATCATGAAGAAACACTTTGTTTTAACGGTAAAACAAGGAAAAACATATTGAACATATTACTTATTACATATGGAACATATACCAGCTAAAACAACCACAAACTTTGAGTCTCAGTCAGTCTTGTGTCTACGTGTTTCCTGCCACAGGGAAAAGAGATATATCCTCGTGTTATCAGTTTTGATTACTTAAGCATGTTTTTGATCAATTTTCCAAATCAAATCATTTAGATTGCAAGACAATGACAAGAGGCGCAATGGGCCTGCATTGCTCACCTGGTATTCATCTCACAATTGTACCCTTAAAAGAGGTCTAAATTAAAGTTACAGGCAAAATATCAGTGACTTAAAGTCATTCAGAAGAACCTGTTAAACGATTAAAAAACACATTTGACCCCTGTGACCTTGAAAGTCAAACATGGGCATTAAGTTGAACAGACTTTATAGCCCTTCATCCCAGAATGCAACTTGCCAAATATCACCACCCTATACCTTTTGTTTATTCAGAAAAGGACTTTTAAAGAACTCCGGCCCTCTATAATATGCGGGAAATAAGCGACCCGACCCTGGGTGGCTATTCAAACTGATATTTTAGAAACAAATCGTCATTTTCACACACATGTCGTACATGGATCGAAAGATCTATTCTTTATGCACAAGATGAACATAAATTACATGCCTCAAACAACCAATACAATCTCTTAAAACATATTTTTTCAAACTTACTCTGTTTTACTTTACGTTTTTGATAGCCCCGCCTTCTAATGCCATGTGACTAAAATCTCGACAGCCTACGTCATAACGTTGGGAAATACCTTCGGAAACGCGAGATCTCGTCAAGTCATGTGACATTGCTCATACCCTAATTTCCATTAAAAACATGGGTTGGTATAGAAAACATTGAAAAATACTGTTCGTAATGATCATTGAAACATGTTATTGATACCACCTAGTGCATTTAGGTCATTTAGTCATTTATTTGAACAAACTTGGTAGCCCTTCATCAAAGTTGGCTTCTGACCAAATATCATTACCCTAGGCCTTTTGGAATTGAGAAGAAGTTGTTTAAAGTAAAATATTGACACCGGATGCCGGATGGACGGACAGGCAACGGATGCCGCCATGGCATAAGAATATATATATAAAAATATATGTCACCAAATGCTGCACAAGAGTGTAGAATTTCCATTTCCCACCTCCTACCCAAAATTTGGTAATTCACTGTTGATTAGAAAAGGCAAAAATAACAACAGGCCCAGAGGGACTGTATCGCTCACCTGAATAACAAAGCAACCATGGGAAATTATTCTTATTACATAAAATCCATCCAATTGCGAAAAAGAAAGATTTTAAAGATTAAATCCTTGAATTCCCCTATTGGGCCTTACAACTCTCAGCACCCAGAGGGGCCTCGACCCTTCATTTATACAAAATTTAGTCACCTTTTCCCAAGGATGCTCCAGGCTAAATTGGGATAAAATCCCTTTATCCCTATGATAGAAGCAGGATTTCAAAGCTTTTTACCTCTATTTCCCCTATTGGGCCCCACAACTTTGCCCACAGTGGGTTCAAACCAACCATTTATACAAAACTGAGTCCTCTTGGCCTAAGCATGCTCCAAACAAAATCAGAATGAAATCCCTTCACCCTTTATGGTAGAAGAGGGATTTCAAATGTTTACCTATATTTCCCCTATTCAGCACCACCTCTCTGCCCCCAGATGGGGGGGGGGGGGGGGGGCACCCACTGTTCATACAAAATTGAGTGCCCTTGGCCTAAAGATGCTCAAGACCAAATTTAGTCGAAATCTACTTGGCCTTTCAGGACAAGTAGCGTTTTAAAAGAAAAGTTGACGGACGGACAACGGACGGATGGACAACGGATGCTGCGCCATGGCATAAGCTTCCTTGCCCTTCGGAAAGGTGAGCTAAATATACCAAAAGTTCTGAGTAACATATACACAAACTAAGGCTATATTTGGGAAGAGCAGAAAAAATCATTGGTATACTAAAGATAGACCCCACTTTTGTGCAATAATACTACTAGTTCATGAAGTGGTGTCACTTGCCAACACCAAGATGGTCGTAGTCAAACGATGTGATACCAAAATGTAACACCATCATCTGATTGTAAGGTCATAATAGTAAAGGTTACATAATTATTGAGTGCAACCATTAGGGATGCACATATCACACATGGGTGTAACTGTGTTCCGTATAAGACTGTATATTATACACATACAAGTGGGCAAATATTTTAACCGAAATAAGACTTCGATATATATATAGTCCTTTACAGAAAAAAATGAGTGTTAATTTTCTCCAATATATAATCCAGCACTTTTTAATAATTCATAAACAGAATTAAGCCATTTTCCTATTTTGCAGTACTTTTCAAGCACTGACCTCAATTCCAGTACTTTTCAAGGCCTGTACCAACTATAAAATTAATTTTTTGAACTATTTTTCCAGCAATGACCTCAAGATTTCACCTATTTCATCAATATCATTAGTAAGTTGTTTCAGTTGTATATCAGAAATATTAGAGGAAATTTGCTCCATCTCTTAAAATATTTTGTTATAAAAAAACAGACATTTTCAACAAACATCTACACAAAACACTGCAACAGCTTTTACCTTTACTCCCTGGGATTCCAGAGATGTCTGGTTAGTAATTACACGTCCCTGACAAATGAGCTTCAGCTGGTCAGCTGGTAGTGCCATCCGTTCAGACAACATATCCCTCAAGTCTTTTCCCAAGACATTAAGGCTGATCTCAAGAGAAATATGCTGTACCTGTAACAGAAACCCCTTTTTGTTTTATTCAAAATGTCTGTTACCTTTAATTCATGATACTTCATTTCAGATTGAAGAATATCTGGAAGTATATTTCATACAATATAACCTGGTAGTTACACACAACACACCAAAAATAGTGTGTGAGCATCGTACATACATTATACCATCTGCACATGAGGGGTACAGCATGTAAAGAATTTTCATGGCATTTTGTCCAGGAAGGATTATTCATTGTTCAAATCTCACATTGTTGATTTGACATTTGACCCTGTGACCTTGAATATGGTTGAAGGTAATTCATTCGGACAAACCTCGTAACTCTATATCTGAGCATGTAACTGACCACATATCATAACACTAGGCCTTTTAGTTATTCAGACTAAGTTGTTTCAATGTTTTCAACACATTTTTGACATTTAACACACGTTTTTTACGTGTTTAACACCGACCTTGAATAACGGGTGAATGTTGTTCATTTGAACAAGCCTACTAGCTTTTCAACTTAGCATGTTACTGACAAAATATCATCACCCTGTGCAGTTTGGTTATTCAGAATAATATGTTTTCAAATTCTTGAGATATTTTACCTCTGTGACCTTGAATTAGGGTCAAGGTCATTCATTTGAATTAACTTGGTAACCTTGCATCCGAGCATGTTACTGGCCAAATAACAGTCCTATGGGCCTCTTTGTTATTCAAAAGAAGTTGTTTAAAGTAAAAAGTTGATGCTTGACAACGCCACAGAATTAGCTGACTTGGCCCTTCCGGCCAGGTGAGCTAATCAACTTTTTATTTATTTTTTAAATATTCATTGAAAGCTTTTGAACTTGCACTGTAAGCTTTAACATGCCAGACAGACAAGGACGTATGGACAAACAAATGGATGACTGTTATGGCACTACTGCATTTCTGTAGCTTACTTTGCCCTTCAAAGAGGGTCAAGGTCATTATATAATTAAGTGCCATAAGCTCAAAGAAGCTAATATATTTTAACAAATGTTTACCTATGCAAAAGAATAAAAAGAAAGAAAATAATTCCATGTTTGGATTACTTTATGCAAATAACTTACTTGATTATGTGCTTATTTGTTAGTTGATAAAGTGTATAAACATAGAGCCTTTTATACCTTATCTGCACTTGTTGGTAGACCAGTCATTTTCACTTTCAGTGAGGCTAGTCCGGATTTTTTATATTTCTCTCGCTCTGCAAGTTTGTGAAGAGCATGGACCCTCAGATTTTCTGTAATACCAGAGACCATCTCTTCTGTCAGTTGTAAGTCCTGGGCATACCTTGCAATCAGATCCTGCTCAAAGGAGAATGACATAACAAACAAAACATGAGTATATAGTATTTATTGATACACGTTTACAACAATAAAATAGTAATGGTATTTATTTAGGCCTACACTAATACTGTCTAACAGTTTTTCATTGCTGTTTGCAATTACATCTTTGACCTTGAAAGAGGGTCAAGAACAAGTTCTTTCTAAAAAACCTGAACAGAAATCAAGCTCGAATTAAAAGATAAATATTGTTATTTTTGGTCTAAACTTTATGGACCTTTGTTTTTAACTGAATTTCTCAGGCATCATTCAGGTTGGTATGGATTATCTAATACCCCAGCAAGCTACAGGCAAAATGTTTTTACTCGGGCCTAAAATACATTTTGAATTGTTGTTCCGACTTTATAGCTTATGCCTCTACGTTAATTATTCAGAAATTATTAAATCTAGAAAATGTCTGTAAGACTTAAATGCCCCCACTGCCATGTGAAATTAGTTTCAGTGTTCTATAAAAAGTTACAACAACTTTGATCTTGATACCCTGAAACATGGACACACACAAGGTACTACACTTAAAGTTGATAAGTTAATTTTAATATTCATATGTTTTTTCTGTATGTTATTACCATCCTGAAACACAAGGATGTCAGAGGTATACCCATACTTGACCATGAGGAGAGTCTGAGCTGTTTGTGAAAACTCCTCTATCTGAGACTAGATCCCAGAAAGAGGTCGAACTGTTAGTCTCAAGAATTCCAGTTCCAGAAGGTAGAGGCTTCGAATGGAACCAAGGTCTGCGAGGCCACCAAGAGGCCACCTGCAAAGCCACCAAGGCCACCTGGTGGCTACCAGGAGAGCCCTGCACAAATATCTCTGTAAGTTCTCTAGTTACCTGAGGATCATGGAGATGGGTTGAAAAATGTACGCCAGCATGCTTGCACATGACATCGCTGAAATGTCTGTCTGATATGGCAGGGAATCTATCATCTAGGAGCAGTTTATCAATAGCTATTTGTTTAAGTTACAAAAAAGTCCACCTGTGGGCGATAATACATTTGGTGGACTCAGAATTGATGCAGAGACTGGTTATACATGATGACATTGCCAAATCCCCGCTAAATGGGCAGCCTTGATCCACACCTCCTTCGAGATTGCCAGCACCCATTCCCTGATCACCAACATACACATGTGAGGAGAGATAGACCCCCCCTGTCTGTTGAGATATTGAACAACTGTGATGGTGTCTGGTCTTACTATGATCGTCTGGCCCTCCCATAAATGTATCCATTTCTGGAAGGCAAGGATCACTGCTTTCATCTCCAGAACGTGTAGGTGGAGAGAGGCCTTCCACTTGCCCTAGAGAGTTTGGTCCTCCGTGTTGGCCCTGGGTTTCAAATTGAGGATAACCGTTATCGTTTTCCTAGTTGAAAAGAAGGTGCTGTAAAACATGTTTTCGATTAGATCTGTCGGGACATGAAGTCTATGATGCATTCGTTCCTCTGTCAAAACCTCCAGAACCCATGCATCTTGAGTAATGCTGTACCACTTTGGCAGAAAAGACCTTCCCCCCTTATGGCAATAGGGGGCATTGTCTCCTGAGGCAATGTCCTACCACTGATGAAAGGGTGAGTGGGAAACAGTGATCTTGATCTTCTTTTCCCTTGCCTGTAACAGAGTTTCTCTGCTGAGAGGAACCCCTGTCTCAACCTGCTCCTTAAAAACTTAAAGTCAGTTGTCCAATCCCTTTGATTTTTCAATTAAACTGAAATGAAATGAAAGCTGGAAGGTTAACACCCAGCCTGACCTCTGGCAGCCTGTCAATCTTTTTGGCCACTCTTCTGTGCCTTGACCATATCCACTACCCCTTAAATCCCCTCCCCAAATAACAATGTGGCATGGATAAAAGTTCAGCCTCAAATGCTTCCCGAGCCAGTGTCCTTAATGATCTGAGCCCGTTTAGAATGATGTTGTAAGGCAAATGCTCCACCCATTTGGTCCAGAGTGCCTTGAGAGGCCAAGAGAGCCACTGTGAAAGTTGCCTATAAAGGCCTAGACGGGTCAAAGTTAGAGGGAGGAGCATCCAACTCAGACATAGTCCTACTCAAACCCTGATGTAGACCTAAGGTAGCTGCCATCCCTGTAATGAGGGCTTTCTGAACAAGGGCTAAATATACCTCCAGTGCCTGCTTCTTGTGAGTCTGTTTCCTCAGAAACACTGGTACAATCACTAGTGACATAAGAAGCTTTTTCGTTGATCAATTTAAAGGGTACTTTGCAATCCTAAACTTGGGCTGTGACCTCAGTTTTGACAGGTTCTAATGAAAGAAGAGAAGGCCCTCCTCGAAGGGCTCAAACAAAGCCTTGGCATGTCATCAGTTGTTTCCCTTTGAACGACTTCTTCTTAAGAACTGAAGGACCTAGGGCCATGATATTTGGCCAGTAGGTACAGAGTGCTATTAACTTCCTTAAATAAATGACCTTGACCTACTTTCAAGGTCACAGGTGAAATATGTAAAATCCTTTAAACAACTTTTCCTGAATAACCAGGAGGCCCAGAATAATAATACTTGGCCAGTAAGTACCTGGCATTAAATGGTATAAAGTTTCCTCAATAAAATTACCTTGACCTACTTTGAAAATCACAAGGGTCAAATGTGTTAAAAGCATTTAAACAGTTTCTTTTGAATAACCAAGAGGTCCAGAGCATTGATATTTGGCCAGTAGGTACCTGGGACAAAGTATTGTAAAGTTTCCCCAAATAAATTACCTTGACCTACTTTGGAGGTCACAGGGGTCAAAAATGTTAAAAACTTTAAACCACTTCTTCAGCAATACCAGGAGTTCAAGAGTACGGATACTTGGCCAGCAGGTACCTGGGACAGAAAGATAAAAACTTTACTCAAATAAATGACCTTGACCTACTTTGGAGGTCACAGGGTATAAATTAGATAAAAACTTTAAACAACTTGTTCAGCAATACCAGGAGTCCAAGAGTACTGATAGTTGGCCAGTAGGTACCTGGGACAGAGAGATATACATTTTCCTCAAATAAATTACCTTGACCAGCTTGTGATGTCACAGGGTTCAAAAATGTTAAAACTTTTAAATAACTACTTCTGATTAACCAGGAGGCCAAGAGTACTGATACATGGCCAGTAGGTACCTTTGACAGTGATATTAAGTTTCCCTAAATATATGATCTTGACCTACTTTTAAAGTCACAGGGGTCAAATATGTCAATATCTTTAAACAACTTCTTCAGCAATACCACAAGACCCTTGGTGATAGTTGACCAGTAGCATGCTGGGATAGGTAGTATAAAGTTTCCTTTAGTCTGGAACATTCTTAAACCAAGGAGACTCAATATATGGAAACATTTTCAAAAGTGCTTTTATTGAGAATATTTTCCCATGATTGCTGAAATATCCAGGTGAGATATACAGGCTCGCTGGGCCTCTTGTTTTAGTAGAACGTCCGTTCACATAGTGAGTAGGTCCATGTCTCGCAACTTGTAGCTCAGGCCTGAACTTGCTGCTACTCAACCCAAACGGGAGTTGCCGTGATGCAGGCCGAGTTTGGAATAGGGGAATCCATAACACCTGCCCATGTCTGACTCTCTTTGTATTTTGTGGCCAGGACTGTCCATCCCATTATGAGAGGCAACATTCTTACTCCCCTTTCCGCTGTGAGGTACGTACGTACATTCCCCTGATGTGGAGAAACTTGTGCTCTAGGCTATCTGAGCGAAATGTAGATATATGTGATAGATAAGCAGTAAAGAAATAAAGAAATTAACACTAGAGTTTGACCAATTGGTTAACATAATCAGTAGGGACCATGCAAAATGGGGTCGTAGAGAAAATAGGGTGATACAGTTACCCAGATGGCAGGATATGTGACAGAGAGGAGCCGGTGTGCATACATGTGCAGGTTTTATTTATTTATTTCCAGCTCCCTCTCACAAGGGTAGGTACACGAAGCAATTTCTGTGAGAGTCTGTAGGTATTTTTGTGGTTAGTATCACTTGAGAACAGCCCAAATGATATTTTTACAAGAAGACATTTACACTATCCACTATATATACCCTCTCCTTCCTTACATGGTGACCTTTGGGTTATTGTGATATATACATGTACTTACATTTGGTGAATCCCCTCTACTACCATCCTCCTTGGTGTACGGTGGCAGCCATAGTTTGATCTTTTCATCATTCAGCTTTTCACGTACACGCTTCTGGTGCAGCTCTTGTGCATAGTTCCCATCAACAACTCTATCTTCCATCATACAGTAAATGATAAATGAAGCAGCAAAACTGGAAATATGTAACAACAAATAATGGTGTTCAGGGCATTTTGTGGTTATGACATCATTTTCAATTTTATGAATATTATGATTTGTCAACAAAACTAATAACAATAGTACAGTAGGGGGACATTACATAGCCCATTCAATGATATATTGTATCTTATCCACAGCAGGGTGGAACAATATAGCCCATTCAATGCTATGTTTCATCAACAGTAGGGCAGAACAATTAATTCAGCCCATTCAATTAATTATATGTAAGCATATTTAATTGCTTTCAGATGGGGTTCATAGGCAATATGAATTCCCACTGCAGTACAAAAAAAATGACATGAACAATGTTAACAGTTCATGTTTCATTTTCCTGTAATACAGTGGGCATTCATAATGCCTATGAACCCTATCTGAAAGCAGTTTATTTAGCAATTCTTATTTAAAGTCAAAATGCAAGATGGGCTTTTTTTGGCCTTTTTATTTCTCTAATCAGTCTCAAAAATAAACATGCACAACTACGGATCAAACGGATCAAGGGAAACTTACATATAAAATGCAAGGACCCCTTAGTACTTTCAGAGAAATAACAATAAAAAACCTTAACTGTCAAAATTCAAGATGACCTAGGCCTCTGTCTGCAACTTTTATTTGTGATAAATCTCAAAAGTAAACATGCACAATTACAGACCAAGGGAAATTAAACCTACAAATCAAATTAGAGAAAGATCCCTCCAGTGCAATCTGAAAAATAGCGATAACAAACATTCGCTGTCAAAATCTAAGATGACGTCTCATGCAATATGTCAGCCATTGTGTTTTAATCCGATCAATCTCAAAAGTAAACATGCACAATAATGAGGACCAAGGAGAACCTTTATATATCAAATTCGAGAAAATCCCCTCAGCTTTCTGAGAAATAGCGATCAAACATTCACTGTCAAATACAAGGTGGCCTCCTGTCAGCCATTTAGTTTTTTTAATCAGTCTCAAAAGTTAACATGCTCAACTACAGTTCAAGGGAATCAAATCTACATATCAAATTTGAGGAAGATCTTTCCAGTTCAATCTGAGAAATAGCGATAACTAACATTTATTGTCAAAATCCCAGATGGTTGTCTGTTGGCCATTTTGTTTATCCAATCAGCCACAAATGTGAACATGCATGCACAAATATGAAACAAGGGAATCCTACAAATGAAATTTGAGAAAGATCCCTGCGGCATGAACTTTCTGAGAAATAGCAATAATAAGAATTGCTTAACTCATTCATCCCTGCAATTTCATAATGGACTATTCAAACCTTTGGATTGGAAGAGTTCAAATGTGTCTTCAGGGGTGAATGAGTTAAGGATAGAATATGGACGGGAGGACGGACCACGGACAAAGGGTAATTTAATTGAATAGCCCACCAAGCCCCATCCTCGATACTCCAGGGGTTACGCACACTTTCGCTCTCTGCACCAATGGAATATGTCACTATCGGTAAAAATTGACAGGCTTTGAAGTCAGGTGTCGCACCTCATCTGTAATGTTCAAAGGACAGGTATCAGCCTTAGTGGTTAGACAGGTTTTTTTTTACCCGACACCAATCAAATAGCTACATTTGTACTTGTGTGCCTTAAGCTTCAATTTTGCTATGCTTATAGACACATTCCAAAGGTTCAGAGAATGAAAGTGAGTGTAACACCTGGAGTATCATGGATGACCATGCAAGCCCACAAAGTCCATGGATTTAAATAGTGAGACATAACATCTTATAACTGTAACAGGAGAAAGAGTAATGCAACAGTCAGACTGGGGTTCAAATCTGGGATCCTCCAACCTCTAGACGGTTGACCCAGTCCGGTTCCGCTACATTGCTCCCTCCTTTTTTCTATTAAATTCTAAGAATATTTTCTATTATTCGAACTAGCAATTTAAAAAAAAAAAAACTCCAGGTCAGACGAGCACAACGTAACAGAGGGACACATTTATGTATAAGGTGGTTGAGGGGTTGATACCAGCTTATATACCTCCTGCTGATCATCTAACAAAAAACAGACCAAAAAGGAACATCAAAGGCCAGAAACTTCTCGGACTATATATCCAAAAATGTGGTAGAAGCATCAGTGATAAATACCTCTAAATCCTATACAGTACCAAAGTACAGCTGTGACCAATACCTCTAAATCCTATACAGTACCAAAGTACAGCTGTGATCAATTCCTCTAAATCCTATATACAGTACCAAAGTACAGCTGCGATCAATACCTCTAAATCCTAAACAGTACCAAAGTACAGCTGCGATCAATACCTCTAAATCCTATACCGTACCAAAGTCCAGCTGTGATCAATACCTCAAAATCCTATACAGTACCAAACTACAGCTGTGATCAATACCTTTAAATCCTATACAGTACCAAGGTACAGCTGTGATCAATACCTTTAAATCCTATATACAGTACCAAAGTACAGGTGTGATCAATACCTCTAAATACTATACAGTACCAAAGTACGTGTTGTATCAATACCTGTAAGTCCTATACATGACCAAAGTACGGCTGTGATCAATACCTCTAAATCATATACAGTACCAAAGTACAGGTGTGATCAATACCTCTAAATACTATACAGTACCAAAGTACAGATGTGATCAATTCCTCTAAATCCTATATACAGTACCAAAGTACAGATGTGATCAATTCCTCTAAATCCTATATACAGTACCAAAGTACAGCTGCGATCAATACCTCTAAATCCTAAACAGTACCAAAGTACGGCTGCTATCAATACCTCTACATCCTATACAGAACCAAAGTACGGCTGTGATCAATACCTCTAAATCCTAAACAGTACCAAAGTACAGCTGTCACCAATTCCTCTAAATCCTATATACAGTACCAAAGTACAGCTGTTATCAATACCTCTAAATCCTATACAGTACCAAAGTACGGCTGTGATCAATACAAGAACTCATTTTTTGTACGTACATTCACAGAGTCAGTAACCATCTGGAAGAGGACTTAGTATATATAATATGTGCCCCTATACTTTGGAGGCCTTTAAGAGTCCTGTAACGCAACAAACATCTAACTGAACTGGCTCTATACATATATAGCTCTCTCTCCCGTTGTATAAAAACCGGAACCGGGTACTACAACGTAAAGATATAGATACAGATACAGAAGTCTTCCACCCGAAGACACAACTTAATTTACACATTGGTAAGCATTGACACCAGATGCTTAAAACAAGGGGTTTTTATAAGAGAAAAAGTAATGGAATGGCCAGACCGGGATTTGAACCCGGGACTCACCAAACTCTAGACAGACAATCTACCAATTAAGCTACCTGGTCACCGAATATTGACCCAGTTCATGGCCAGTTCGATTCCGCTACATAAGATAAACTACAGTACATTACAATAACAGCACCAAAACACAGAATAATGTCAGACAAGTTTTATGATAATTAAACATTGAAAAGGAAATCAAAATGGTACTGTAGAAATAGGCCTATTGTAAAATAGGACCTAAGATAGTTTCACAATCATGAGAAATAACGTTATAGAAAATACAATAGCATAAATTTATGAAATGTCAAATAACAATAACTTTAATAACAACATTTACAATATGAGTAATAATAAAACACTGAATAAGAATAACAAACGAACAATAACAATGATATTAAAATAAATACTAACCAGATAGCCTACTCGAATATTGTATGTCGCATTCAGTCTTGATCTACATGCGGTATTTGTGGGAAATTACAAATCTTGTAGTTAAAAGTTTTACGTTTGAAAATACTCCTTACTTCTTGCACAGCGATTAGGTTCCAACTATGACAGTGATCAGGATTGTTGATACAAAAATATGTCAAAATTCTGCAACGTAACCGTTAGTCTACTACGTATTTTTGGTCAATTCGTCAATGTTTTGACTTTTCAAGTTCCTGAAAATGTTTTATTCGGGCCACCATGTCAAGCTTTCGATTAGGAACGATTGGCATATTTCTTGATTATCTCCCTTTCTAAAGCACGGTTTTCACAAAGGGGAAATCAAGGAAAAGAATGCGAAATTTGGTAAGGTATCCCCTTTTTAATCCGAAAGAGCATCATTAAGGTAGGAAGATGTTATTATGTAACAATAAATAGTGTTTATCTTTACAATGGAAACAGTATAATGCACAAATCCGTTACTTTGGACTCTAGCAAGTCCACTCATGCTAGTCCTGCACGAGCCCCGTTCGCGTTGGTCCATAAACAGCAAAAAAGTCAAGGGGCAAAATACACATCTTTACCGAGATAATCTGAAATTAGAACACCTCGATATCTTTTGAAATACTTGCCAATAAGTGAGTGTTTCTGGAATCTTTTGTATAAGTGAGTTACAGTTGTCACTCAATATCAAAATAACCACATGGTCGAGTTCTTAATAAAAAAGAAAGATATTGTACAGTTACTGTACTATCGGCCTTAGGCAAAAAAAAGATGTTTCAGGTTCTTGACCTACTCTAGATTTTACTGCTGACCCTAGATATTTTATCACCTACATGTATTTAAGATATATTGATTTAAATGTAAAAATAACATATTCTCTCTCTCCCGTCGTGTCATGCCCTAACTACGACGTATACGTACAGTACAGTACAATGTAAATTAATATAACCATGCAGGTAAAACTAGTTCACAGCCACTCATTAAAATGCTATTTTCTTCCTGTGAATTAGTTATCAACCTTTTAATGGGTTTTAATTAAGTATTTCCATCCTCTTTCTCAGAAAAAAAGTTATTCCAATGCGTAAATTCCTTCTGTCTTCTGTAACTTGTGAGAGAACTAAACCTATATACATTTGTACCTCTTCCTGAAAATTCCCCTCCCCCAGATAGCATGCATACATTGTACCTCGGCCGACGTTGGCCCAATGCATCAGGGTTGGTTGGGCCATCGTTGGAAAATGACGTTGGACCAACATTCTTTTGCAAATCGGCCCAATGTTGGCACATTTTTGGCCCAGCAACTATACTTGGTGTGGATACAACGTTGTGCCAATTAACTATAAAACTATGTTGGGTCAACATTGGGCCAATGCTTATAATTGTGGTGCATATTTGATGTTGGGCCAACGTTACACCAATGAACAAAGTTTGCTGGGCCAACGTTGGTACAATGCTGTATTTTAGTTTTTTGGTTGTAGTGGGCTTTCCATCCTATTAACATACAGCTACTGGGTTTTTTAAGGACGGTGTCAAGATATAGACACAAGAAAAGACAGAAAGAAAGATTATGGGAAAAGATGTGAATGAGAAATGAATAAAATGTTGGTGTCTGATAGAAAACAAACAGTGATTTAGATTATATTGTATCCATCCATTTTATTTTCAACACTTGCTGATTGGGAGCAGATGCCACCAGTGCAGCTGACTTTTGATTTCCTCCTTTTTTGTCTACCCCCTTCTCAGTCCCCTGCATATCTCAGCCAGTCTTTTTCAATATTGTTAACCTCGTTGTTGGTCATGGCCTTTGTTGTGAGGGATTTTTTTTTTGTACAGCCCGAAGTGAATGAGGAAAATATTCCTAGTTTATTGTGCAGAAATTCTAAGCGACAAGGGCCCAACCATAGTTAAATTTGTAAGGTAAAAATTACAAATGACCCTAGACCATTTCCTCGCTAATCTATATATACATATTTCTGTAATGCTGTCTGTAAAACAATACCAATATGCACCAATTCAATTCAGATAAAGTACTATAATATAAACATAAAACAATTAATTTGACAATAAAAGTAGGGTAATATTATTAAATCATATGTGGGTTTCAGGCTGTGTATTTTCACAGGATTTTACGCCCTTGTTAAATGGAATTTCTACAAAAGAAATAGCATAACCATATATGCAGGGTGAGGCCTCTACATATATGTCTATAAGGTCATTTTTTCGCATTTTGTATTAGAAAACACTTTTAGTAAGCTATGGGTGACATACTTTAAATTTATGTCGTTATTGGCAGGGACCTCCACCCATAGTAAGCTATAATGTGATATTTACAGTATAAACAAAATAGTTCTTAGTTCTAGAATTTAAGTCTTAAGAGTTACTTCCCTTCCATACACAGATAAAGACAATATATACATACGGACTTTAAAATATCTTGCAGTGTATATCCAAAGCATTTACATGTATACCCATATCATTCCCATCTGTTGCATACATGTAATAAATTACATCCTTTATTAAAGAGTATTTGTTGAATAAAGTAAGATTATATAGTGTACATTCACATGCAGCTCAAGTTATAGTTATTGAGAAAATTAAGTTATTTTAAGAGGTAAAACACCATAATACTTTTGATGATTGTATTGTATATTAATACATATATATACTTACATCACAATATAAAAATCACAGCTGCAGTGGATCTTCTCAGTCTGTATAAGATGTACAACAGTCTGTTGTGTGCACAATTAAAGGACTGGTCCAGTGGCGGGAGAAAACGGCTGACCTACATGTAATCTGAGATGTAATGTATAAGCAGTGCTTACAGGTGTACTTGGACATGTCCTGAGGTGATGCTATTAAATTACCCACACTGGGGTTCTGGTTTTAGTGGTATGCATGTACGAGCCCAGGAGTATCAGATAATGTTGGTAAAATATACCAAAACATTGAGTGCTATTGCAGACATAATTTTGAAAATAACAAATACATAATATAATGATCATAAATAGCATATCCATAACTGGTTCGATCTGTACGTCTTCAATTTGTTGTTTATAAAAAATAAAGAAAAGAAATCCTTTCAATTAAGTTATTACCAAATATTGTGTAATTACTATCAGTTGATTAGTGCTTGGTGGCCGAGTGTAATTATTATTTTATGCAATTTTGATTTCACATAGACAATGACAGTGGGCCAACGTTGGCTCAACACATGAAAATTAACGGTCAGTTTTACAATGTTCAACCAACGTTGGGTCAACAACATTAAGCCAACCCTGACGTAAGGTCAAACGACCAACAGCCAACATTGGGCCAACATATGTCTGCTATCTGCCCCCCCCCCCCCCCCCCCCCCCCCCNATCACCCCCTACCAAAACAAATTATATATAATCACCCCCTACCAAAACAAAATATATAAACTGTACATGAACTTGTTTAAAACCCATTTTATCTCTTAAAGTACCATTTCTATAAAAATAAGTCTTCTTGTACTGTTTATATATTTTCAGATCTAAAGGATTTGTGTATGCAGTTGGTGGCATGTGAGATTACTCAGCTCTTCATACTTGTCCTTAAAACAATGTTTGTCATATCAAAGACAGCATACAGGTCTTATTTAAGAGAAACATCTTATCTCTAAGAGAATCAGTTAAAAAATTGCTTTCACTAATGGATTCTTCAATCATAACCAATGTATCTAAGGGACCTTCTCCCTCCAAGGATGAGTTGAATCCAGTTTCTTCAAAAAGTATTTCTCAAACACTATCAGCTGATCAAATACCATCACCTGTCTTTGAAGTGTCTTTGACTGGCCAGGAATCTTCTCCAGAATTGTCCATGCATCCAGCTGTGATGGAAATAATTTCTGACAAAGATTCTTCCTCAAATGCTCACCAAATTTCACCAACTAAAATTCTACAAAATCTAAGTTCAGCTGAATTTACGCAACAGTCATCTTTGTCTTCTAATGAAATGAGTCAGAATTGTGTTAACTTAATTAGAATCACCACACCACCCCTTCATCAACCAGTAGAACGAAATGTCAGCCATGCATTAGCAGAAGATGAATCAACAGTGTCAGTTTTGCAGCAAGCACTTTCATCTCAGCCAGAAAATTCATGGAGTGTTTCTTCCATTAACAATGAGTCAGTTGCAGAACGATTGCAAATATCATTAAGACAAGAGCAAGGTTTTGATACTAATCAGTATCAATTAAGAGTTCAACAAATGAAACTAGGAGGCAATGAGTTACCCTGGAAACCAACAGCTGTCACAGAACAAGGCATTAATTTAGAACAACACACTACAACTGCATTAATTAATTCTGACAAAATTTCACCATCATCCATAGTTCTCCAAAAGGCCCAGGAAGACTTTTCTGTTATCACCCAAGATTCTGCACACATACAGGAAGAGACTCTTCCTATTGACGCGGTTATCGAAACTATTGAGGAATATGTTGACAGGGCTACAAGTTTGGAATCGGAGGTAAGTGAACCACCCAATAAAGCACCTTTGATTACAGAACCCATTGGTAGCCGGGTTCAACAGAATGCAGATTGGAATTTTGATGTGAATCTTGCCTTTGATATGCACATAAAAAAACACTCAGAAAATGAGACTATGAAAGTAGGTAAAGGTAAACCACAAGTTATTACTGGTGTGCAGAGTGGCAAATTTACTGTGACATCCAAAGGATTGGCATCGCCAAAACAAAACAGTGTTAGCTTGATCAGAAACATTCCCACATCTTCAGGGACAAGTTTGGTGGGAAGATACCAGGATGTCAGTACACTTGGAATTGAAAGCAGTGATGCTAATCGCTGGGAGGATCGAAATTTGCAATTTTCTTTAAATCCATATCCTGGAAATCTTTTGAAAGTGCAGTATACAGAAGGTGAGATGCAGACTGTCTTGCAGAAGGCATCTACAGACATGTCAACAGGACCTAAGGAGCAGATCATACAGCCTGTTTTAAATACACAGCCAATGGAACAACCACTTCACATTCAGAATGAAATGCACCGCTTAGGTCTTCATGTACAGATTGATAAAGCAGCTGACAGTGACAATGTGAGGGTGGTCAATCCTGGTCTGGGGTTCATAGTGCCGGAACAGGACAATGTGAGGGTGGTCAATCCTGGTCTGGGGTTCATAGTGCCGGAACAGAGTGCAATATCTCCACCAAAGGCTGTGTTTTTTGCAACAGAAGAACAATCGAAAAACTTTGCTGCAGGTAAAGCTCCAGAAAATACTGCTTTTTCATCAGATAAGAACATCACATCACTTGAAAAAAATATTGCTGCAATGCACAGCTTTGTTCAAACAGAGCGTGCACGTCTTGACCTGGAGAGACGTGCTGGCTTAATCACAATTAAACCTATCGAGGACATTCCAAAAGATAACAAGTCAACAAAGGTGACTGTTGGACCGACACCAGTATCTTTGAATTCATCAGGAAAGGAAAAGACAGCAGTTAGCATGCCAACTACCTCAGGTGTTGATAGTGTAAACCCAGTGAGAAGAGAGATTGCCCGCATTGTTATACTTCCAAATCAGCTTGGAGGTAAAGCAGAATTAATGGTTACAGAAGCAATGGATGGTAAATCAACTTCAAAAAAATCATTGTTGGTGCCGGTTAAAAATATTTATAGAGGAAAACAACAGGAAACCACTGATTCAGCCCAGGTGCCAGAACAAACTGCAGAAGAAGGCACTTCAAAAACACAACAGACAGGTAAAAATCTGCAAGAAAAAACATCTTACACCAAAGAAGATGCAAGGAGAAAACCAGCATTGGCTGTAAAACCACTCACTGCGTTGACTGAAGATGAGTTAAGTGTATTGCAAAGGCCAAAAAAGATTACCAGATATTTTAAAGAAAAGGCCAAAAACGTTGTTCACCAGGGAACAAAGCAGCAGAATGTACAAAATACGTCACAGGAAGAACAGGAAAGCAAGGCACCTGAGAAAGGACTCTCACAATCTAAACAAAACCTACCAAAAGAACTTCAGCAAGAAGGGTAAGTTAATGTAAACGTATTTGTATTTTAATCTTTCTCCATATATTGTAAAAGTTAAAATTACTTTGGTGAGAAAATGGTTGTGTTTTTAGCGGTTCGTGCCAGTTGAGCTTATGGTATGGTGCGTCAACTTTTTTCTTTGAACAACTTCTTAAGAACTGGAGGACCTAGGGCCATGATATTTGGCCAGTAGGTACCTGGGACAGAGTGCTATAAAGTGTCCTCAAATATATGACCTTGACCTACTTTCCATGTCACAAAGGTGTATTATTACACCTTTGTGACATGGAAAGTAGGTCAAGGTCATATATATTTGAGGTCACTTTATAGCATTGCATGTCAGGTAATATGAAAAAAACTTTAAACAACTTCTCTTGAATAACCAGAAGGCCCAGAGTAATAATACTTGGCCAGTAGGTACCTGACATGCAATGCTATAAAGTTTCCTCAAATAAATGACTTTGACCTACTTTAAAGATTATAAGGGTCAGATGTGTTTAAAACCTTTAAAAATCTTCTTAATATCCAGGAGGCCCAGAGTAGTAATATTTGGCCAGTAGGTACCTTGGACAGAGTGATGTAAAGTTTCCTAAGATAAATGACATTGACGTACTTTTGAGGTCACAGGGGTCAAATATGTAAAAAAAAAAAAAAAAAAAATCTGATTACCTAGGAGGCCCAGAGTAATGGTACTTGGCCAGTAGGTACCTAGCATGAAGTGCTATAAAGTTTCCCCAAATAAATAAGAGGCCCTGGGTGATGATATTTGACTTGAATCATTCTGTGATAGAGTAGTATAAAGTTTTCTTTCATTTCCGTGTGTTTAAGATAGAGCTGGCCAGGGTAAGAAAGGGGTGTAGGAAATTTCTATCTTACACACCATTTCAGGTGACGTGATGTCACAATGGCTCAACAATGACGTGACGTCGTAAATTTGGAAATCTCCGATGCAGCAATGCGGAAAAGACAATGTGATAAAATTAAAACCTTTTACGATGTATTTACCATACACGTTAGAAAGATGAGATTATTTTTTCTGCGAAAACATTGTTTGCAAATATGGGGTGTGCTTAATCTCGCTGACAAATTTGTTTTCGTCAAAAAAGCTTAGGAAAAAATTGATATTTTCAAATTGGTAGCCAGTCCAAACACATTTTCATGGTTTCTGAGCTTATTCTGGTAGATGGAATGAGAGAAAAATACTCTTTCATGCCGAAAAGGTGTTGGATAGGGAAAATCCACACTCAGGGTTTCCAAATTTGGAAAAACCCTCGGCTACCAAATTTGAAAACCCCTCTGGTGGAGTTTCCCTATCCTACACCCCTGGATCTGAAAGAGTTTTATATTATTTAGTCTGGAACATTTTAAAGCTAAGGAGATTCAATATATGGAAATATTTGCAAAGTACTTTAATTGAGAATATTTTCCTGTGATTGCTCAAATATCCAGGTAAGCGTTACAAGCCCTATGGGCCTGATCTTGTTCACATTGAGAAAGGAAGTGTTAAAATATCCTCATGGAAATATACAGACATAGAGATTAGTAAGACTGTTGATATATAGAATATGAAGAGTTCATATCTGAATGCACTGTGAAATTTTAATCACCATGATTGGGTCAATTTGAACACTCAACAGTCACAACAAAACATTTCTACCCTCTAGAATTTCAACTTTTATGGTATACATTGTATGTCTGCTTTAACATGGCCACAATTAAGTTTTCCAAATTATGTCAGATGTCAAAGTCCTTCATTATGACTTACGAATGAAGGGAGACATATTGTATTAGTACTGCTTAGCTCACCTGGTCCGAAGGACCAAGGTGAGCTTATGCCATACCGTGTCGTCCGTCCGTCAACAATTTCTTTCAACAACTTCTTCTTCTTAACAACTGATTGGAATTTAACTTGATTTGACTGAAAGCATCCCTAGGTGGTGGGGATTCAAAATTGTACAAGTGGCGGGGCTGACCCCCCAGGGGACTGGGGGGCGGGGCCAAATGGGAGCAATTTGGCTATATTGCTTTAAGCGACTTCTTCTATGGAACTAAATGATGGATATCAACCATAATTGACTGGAAGCATCCCTAGGTGGTGGAGATTCAAAATTATACAAATGGTGGGGTTGACCCCCCCCCAGGGGACTGAGGGGCGGGGCCAAAAGGGGACAATTTGGCTATATTGCTTTAAGCGACTTCTCCTCTGGAACTAAGAGATGGATATCAACCACATTTCACTGGAAGCACCCTTCGGTGGTGGGGATTCAAAATTGTACAAATGGTGGGGCTGACCCCCAGGGGGCTGAGGGGCAGTGCCAAAAGGAGACAATTTGGCTATATTGCTATAAATGACTTCTTCTGTAGAACTGTGCCATGGATATTGATAATAATTGGTCGCATTCATGAGAGACAGGGATTCAAAATTGTACAAATGATAGCCCCAGGCTAAGGGTATTACTTGGAAATGGTCGAGATACCCATCGTATAACCATATATACAATTGCTGAGTATAAAGAGAAGCATGCACATTTGCTTCCAGGATGGCTCTAGGATCTGGCCCCACCCTTGGAAACATAATCCCTGGGTCATAACTTTGAAACGGTTGAGATCCCCACCCCAAAACGGCCCGTAAATTTTAAACCGTTAAATATATCTTGATCAAACTTGAAATATATCTGCATCACCCACAGAAGGTGTGCAGTGCACTAGAATTAGGTATCGTGCTTCACTATATACAGAGTTACCTTTGTTTATTTTTAATACTGAAGTTTGTCCGGAGCATGAGTTTCATGTTATGTCACCTAAGTTGACCAAACTTGCCATAATTTTGTATCTTGGGAAGGAGGAATCTCGTGCCCCACTGTATATAGAGTTATGGCCCTTTGTTTATTTTTAATACCGAAGTTTGTCCACTGCTTAACTTCCATGTTATTTCACCTACGGTTGCTCCAGGATTTCAAAGTTATGGCATGGTTACATTACGACTAAAGTATGGTGGCGCTAGGTTTGCTGTTTGTCGTGGTTCTGAGTCAGGTTGCTATATTCACTTGATACTTCAGACTTGGAAGGGGTTACATGATGGACGTTGTCATCTACAACCACAGAAACACACTTAAGCTGATGAATTGACCTCTAGAATTGAACAGGTTGCAAACTACATGCTGATGGTCCAAACTATTCAGCAGCGATTTGAGACCTGCTTCTCGTTTGTTCAGTTGTAGAAAACTGATTTTGAGTCAGAAGTCAGAAAATTTGTTCCCAATACATAGCCACCAGGGCGTCACCTGTCAAACCGTAGCGTAATTAATTGAAGTGACATTGTGGCGCAACCTGGAACGATGTAGCGCCATTTGCACCGTGGCATAACCTTATTTTCAGTGCTATAAGATAAAGTTTAAGTTTGTTCTGTATTATATAACTTGTCTGCTGGACAACAGAAAAGTAGTAAAACAAAAGTAAAACAGAGTTATAGATTTTTTTATTAGATATTTTACTGCTGTCCGAGATCTATGTGTGAGTTTACAATAATCTGCAACAGTAAAAAGAAGTACCATTTTGATTGGTCAATGTAAAATGGGAACTGGACCTTATATCATCACATGTGAAGATAACGTTTTGTATATTCAGCTAAGACATCAGTTTCTGCCACACTGATAATTTACCATATTCCAATGGTTAAACTGTCATTAATGTCTTTAATATTTATTCTTTTTTTTATGATGATGATTACATAAACAATTTTTCATTGCACATTGCTTTCATTAAATTGTTTAAAATGTTATAATTGAAAAATCATTTTCAAATTGTAAAAGTATTAATCATACTGTATTTCACTCATTACAGAGGAGACATGCAGGGTTGGCAATAATGTCCATTTGACATACAATGTATATATATATTTCTAAAAATAATTTTCAGATCCACAGAGAAAGAAACACAACAATTTGTATTGGGTGATCCTAATCCTACTCCGGTGATATTGCTTCGAAACTGTGCTGGTAAGTAGCTTAAAATGTATAGCTTTATCTAGACTGTAATCCATAATATGTTCACCTTGTTAGTCATTGTGTTAAAGAAGCTCTTCCGTGATAGATTTACTTAGGTAAAATCGTCAGAATGTTAGACTCTGCATTAGGCGCAAAATAAAACAGTTTAGTTTAAGATTTGATTTTACTAATATATGACTGATTTGGTCTTTTCTATGTCATAATAAACAGTATACATTATAAAGGGTGAATGTTGTATACAAATAAAATGTCAAAAATTTATAATGTAAACCTTAAATAGGATTTCTAAACATTGCATTTAACACATATAAAAAAATGTACAACTGTTGCTTGTCTCCAGCTCAATTTACAAAAGGTAAATCTCCTTAAGGATAGATCCCTGCCCCAGTACTGCGAAACCTACTTATTTTAGCACATTATTGAACAGATAAGTGAATTGACAAATTGGCACTTCCTCATAAAACAATATACAGCATCAATTTGCACAGTCATGATGCAGCACAACATTTAAAAGTGCAATCTCCCCCAATAGAAAGTTCAAAAAGTAGGCAAGTATGCATTTACAAAACATAAATCAGGGGTCTTTGTTATCAGATAGCAAGACAGCCTGAATACTTTTATGTATGACACGAAAGTATATGAATATCATAAGTTTTAATAAAAAATCTTTTTAAATGTATGTTTTTATTATCCATAATAACTGTAATATATGGTATGGTGTGGATGCAATGTATGTCTGGTGTGAAGACATAAGGAAAGACTTAAAAATGTTTTCATAATTACTTATTTCAGAGGGCGACAACTGTTGTATTAGCTATGTTTGTGTGGAAGCACACCTATCATTAATGAAATAGCACACAAGCATTGTCACTTTGGCATTTTATAACATTTCTCCTTTATTGAAGATTAAGGCCTGAAATACAATATTTATTATTTTCATTTTCAAAAAATCCCTACTACAAAAAAATCCATATTGGAATTTTGATTTGAGATTGATTTTGCTTGTCCAAACTTAGTTTATCTTTAAGAAAGTCAATATTTATTAACTTTAATACCGAACCTTTTACAAATTAAACATTTTACACGTATAGCATAACAAGAAAACAAGCTAGAGGTTTATATTTAATCCTCTCCTCTTAACTTCATTCAAATGCTGGGTAAAGTTTAGGCAAACACTGTAAATGTGCATGTAGATACTTTAACTCTGATGGTATACAATGTAAATACCTGGTAATATTAAATTAGAAAGTGAATTTATTAAAGGTTTACTTGTTGCTTGTTATACTCCTTCATATACTTTGGACAAGGTAGGATATGGGTGTGATACAAGGCCGCAGTTACTAAAGTAGATATTTACCATCACACTCCATATCGTCACACAAGCAACTGTATTTTCTGCCTTAGTGAAACGTCACAGTTATGTTTTCCTATGTAGTTTTCATCAATCAAAAGTAAAAGTCACTGTTACTAAAAACATTTCTCCTTATTTTTCACTAAAAGTTTCACTATATTCGGAGGGTTTCATCATCAGTCCATGGTCTAGCTTAATAATGCTATAGATGAGGGGGCAATGGAAGGCATTTTTTCTACATATACCATCCACATTAACACATGCAGCCACTGTAACATGAAAAGTTCTTATTTACATTGTGGTTCAACAGCTGTAAAGTAAATTTGTATGGGTATTCACATACTTTCATATCTTTTATAGAAGTGAAGAGCGTAAAGGCATTTACGTGTCAAGAGTGTGGGCGGGGTTTCAGCCACCTTGGGGACTACAACAGTCATGTGAAAGCCCACAAAGATGGAATGCCTTTCACCTGCAATGAGTGTGGAGTAGGTTTCAGGAAAAGTGGCCATTTGATCAACCATAGTCGACGACATACGGGTGAGAAACCATTTGCCTGCACTTTTTGTAATAACAAATTCGGACAACTAGGCACTCTTAAGCGCCACCTGCGCATTCATACTGGGGAGAAGCCGTACGTATGCCCCACATGTAATAAGAGCTTTTCCCAGCTGAGTTATATGAAGGTACATAGGAGATCTCACACAGGAGAAAGACCATTCAAATGTGATATATGTGAACATAGTTTTCTACAAAGTGGAGACCTGAAGAAACACAAACTGCGCAAACATAATGCCAAGAAAGAACTGCCATGTCCACACTGTTCAAAGAGTTTTGGAGATAAAATTGACATCAAACGACATCTCAAAACACATGAAGGCAAACTTGATTGTAAAACTTGCAATAAGAAATTTGAAAATATGGAAAGTGCAAAGATCCATAAGCAGCTGTTCCACTCCAAAGGGAAGACAAAAGAACTGCCTCATCGTTGTACGATGTGTGACATAGGATTTAAACTAAAAGCCGACCTTCAGTCTCACATGAGGACATGCCATCCACTTGATATCAAGAAGGAAAAACCTAACGGTAGAGGAAAAGGAAAGAAGCGAGGAAGGAAGAGGAGAAAGCAACAACATGAGAGTGAAGATGAAGACAGTGATCAAGATTTTGAAAAGGATATGAGTGACACACCAGAGGGAGAAGGACCTACTTTTATTGTGAAGGAGGAGGTAGTGGATGAAGAACAGAAAGCCAAGGAAGAAGAGGAGAAAAAGGAAACTGTAATTAGAGGAACAAGAAAGAGGAAAGCAAGTAAATTTCAACTGAGGAAACTTTTACCAGTAAATCAGAATCACCCAAAGCGTTCAAGAAGATCAAAGAATAAAGAGACAAATTAGTTCTGTAATGAAACAAGATTGTAATAAAATTGCTGACCTTTGTGCTTATGCAAAGGCACAAGTCCTATTCACAATCTGTCATCAAAGTTACTTGGATTATGTGCTTTTTTATGTTAATGTTAATTGGCCAGTAGCTTTCTTGATTGAAAGGCTTCAAATTCACTTGCATAAATTATCCGTACTCATATTTAAGGGTGTAAAATCGTGAAATGACAACCTGTGTGGCATATAGAAATAATGTTTAGCCTGTAATTTGCTGGAATAAAAGGATGTTAAAGATGTTCAAATAAAAAATATGTTACGGTGACCTATGTAACAATGATAAAGGTCATGGGTCAAATGTTTTCTATAATCTTAAAACAGCAGAGGAACCATAAAAATCAAATCAATGATAGATTGCCTGTAGTTTGTTTGTGCTATCAAGTATGTAAAAGGAAATTACATTTCTTCATTTTCAAGGGAACATATTTGTTAATTTATGAAAATATTCTAAAACAAAACAATGGAGCCTAGAGTAAAAGAATTTGGTCTTGAGCTTGATTACCCAAGGGATGATGGGCTATCATTTTTTTAGATTGATTACTTAAACAAAATGCTGTAATTCTTTGACACAACTCCATGTCCAAAATACTCTGTTCAACCCTGTCTGTATCACCACACTGTTATACCAAACCCTGTCAGTTACAGCTGGTATCACACGTAACACTGTCATACCAAACTCTGTTAGTTATAACAAGTATCAGAGGCCTCACTGTCATACCAATCCCTGGCTGTTGTCAGTTACAGCAGGTATCACAAGCAACACTGTCATACCAAACCCTGTCAGTTACAGCAGGTATCACAAGCAACACTGTCATACCAAACTCTGTCAGATACAGCAGGTATCACAAGCCTCGCTGTCATACCAAACCCTGTCAGTTACAGCAGGTGTCACATGCAACACTGTCATACCAAACCCTGTCAGTCACAGCAAGTGTCACAAGCATCACTGTCATACCAAACCCTGTCAGTTACAGCAGGTGTCACAATCATCACTGTCATACCAAACCCTGTCAGTTACAGTAGGTGTCACAAGCATCACTGTCATACAAAACCCTGTCTGTTACAGCAGGTGTCACAATCATCACTGTCATACCAAACCCTGTCAGTTACAGTAGGTGTCACAAGCATCACTGTCATACCAAACCCTGGCCAGTTACAGTAGGTGTCACAAGCATCACCGTCATACCAAACCCTGGCCAGTTACAGCAGGTGTCACATGCAACACTGTCATACCAACCCCTGTCAGTTACAGCAGGTGTCACAATCATCACTGTCATACCAAACCCTGTCAGTTACAGTAGGTGTCACAATCATTACTGTCATACCAAACCCTGTCAGTTACAGTAGGTGTCACAAGCATAACTGTCATACCAAACCCTGGCCAGTTACAGTAGGTGTCACAAGCCTCCCCGTCATTCCAAACCCTGGCCAGTTACAGCAGGTGTCACATGCAACACTGTCATACCAAACCCTGTCAGTTACAGCAGGTGTCACAAGCAACACCGTGTATATATTCATATATATTGATTTAAAAGTTGCAGTTGTGTAATAATTGTTTGTATAATAATGTACAATGTATATATATATCTTAGCAAAATGATATACATGTCAGATGTGTAGCCTTTATTGTATTGTGAAATTAACATAACAATAATTTGCAGTAATTTTTACTTCATTAGATAGTTGCCCTATATCCATTGCCTATGTAGACCTATGCCTATGTAGACCATTGTCTGATGCATGTCCAGGTTGTTCTTTCAATGATATATGTTTACGTCTCACCAACTACATTTAAATTTCATATTAGATTTAAGTAGGAAATGGTAAACTAATATCAATCAATGCATATATTTTTAAGTTTATTGTAATTCTTTACATGTATATCTGAATGATATGAGGCTGTAATCATAATTAGATATCCGTTCAATAAAGATATGTAAACTGTGTTGATTTTTTCCCCTTGTGATGTCGTATTGTGACTATTGTATATATGTATTGTATATATATTACATTACATAATTTTGTTTGTGAGATAGATATTCAGTCAACCTGATGAAAATGATAACATCAGTTTTAAACTTACCAAAGGCATTTTCTGGACTTTTTGTTCAGATACAGAAAACGCGATGGAAGATTAAGAAGAAATGTATGGAAATCTTTAGTGGACTAAATTAATATGAGAAGGTAGTAAATTATTTACACAATTGCTAGCATTTTTGAAACAATCCAATCAGATAAGAGCAGAGAAGTGAAAATGGGTTTTGTAGCCTATGCAGAATGGTGTACAGTCATGTTGTCAAGTGGGGAAAATATTTATAGAAAATAGTATAGCAGAATACACTGCTGTTTATTACTTGTACTTTACCCTCATGGCATATGTAGATTTTTAGGTCACCTGAGCTTTAGCTCAAGTGACCTATTGCTATCCGTCTTCGTCCGTCATCCGTTAACATTTTACATTTTCAACTTAAGCTGAAATTCTGGCAAAGGGATTAATATTTCATGGGAAAGTTACTGACATCTCCCTGACCAAGTGTTGTTATTTTTCGGGTCGATCAGAAGTCCAATATGGCCACCACGGCCGCCATTTTGAAAAACTATTTCACACCTTAAGTCAAGTTCTGCTGGGCCGATTGAACTAAAAGTTGGTAGGAATGATCGACTCATGGTCCTGACACAGTGTTGTTATTTTTCGGGTCAATCAGAAATCCAATATGGCTGCCATTTTGAAAAACTATTTCAAACTTAAAAACAAGTTCTAATAGGCCGATCTAACTGAAAATCGGTCTAGGAATGATCAGCTCATGGTCCTGACAAACTTAAGTTAAAGTTATACTTAACAATTTTTTTACACTCAAATTGGTACATATTTCAACAACTAAAATAAATACTGTAGGACTCAGGTGACCGTTAAGGCCCATGGGCCTCTTGTTTGTAAACTTATATAAATTTTATATTTGTTTTATATTTATGATGATGCAACTTAGTTGCTTTGATTTTGCACCCTATGTTTTTTTTCATTCACATGCAAAAACTAGAAATTTGCTTGGTATTGCATGGCGACCCACAATCAGTATATTAATTTTAAGCATTAATTAGTTATTTGGCTTAAAATTTCCTTAGGTTTAAATTTGAGACTGCAGTGCCCCCTACCTTTATTTTCAGGATGTCCATTGACCCCAGGTACCTTTAATGCAAATTATACTGAAACATACCAAATTGTATCATGAAAGGGTTATTTATTCAGCTTACCTTGCTCAAAGGGCCAAGTGAGCTTATACCGTGGCCAGATGCATACTGAGATGAGGGGCTACCAAGTTTGTTCAAATGAATGACCTTCACCCATATTCAACTTTGTTTTATTTCCTAGCATCTTGCTTGGCTTTACCTCTCTTTTGGCTTAAATGTTGATCGTTCTTCCAGGTGAGGAAGGCAAATAGTTCTGTCCCACGGACGGGACATACCAAAGTCCTTAAATGGTAGTTGTTATTCCCTGCTTAACCTCCAACATTTTTCCCGTTGTCAGTATAATGTGGCATGGCGGAATGCTGTGCCGGGTGCCTTCTGCATGTTATTTCAGTGAGATAGCACTATAAAGTCGGCATCAGATCCATGCTATCATAAGGAGGCAAATATATCAATATACCCTGCCTCTGGCACACATACACATGCACATATGTAACATACATGGAGGCACGTCTTTTAATGACCTTGGCTGTTGATAGGACGCTAAACACGCTAACAAACAACCAACAACCAGCTGAACGGTGATGTTAGCTGGCTAGTGTTCTCCATGTCCTATTATTGTAGGGGGCTACTGTAGAATTAGGTACACCGGATAGTAGGAGCTGCTGTGACCAGAACACATGTGTACAAGTTGTTAAGACTGTGTTTATTGTATTGACGTTAGAAGACAAGGATGCTTTAATCTGTTTGATATTTTTTATTTAGAATAGAAGAATTCTATCCTTTGTGGACAAGTGTATGCTTAACATTTATTAGTGGTCAGTATTGGTTTGTGGACAAGTGTATGCGTAACATTTATTAGTGGTCAGTATTGGTCTGCGTTGTTACTATATGTACAATGTATGTCATTTTATTTAGTGTGATGTTTCTGTATATTATAGAGCTACGAAGGACAAGGTATCGGAAAATATATGTCTGAGGTAATGTCGGTAATTTTTAATTGATACCTCATATAATATCAAAATTATGAATCAGTACATTTCCTTTTGATGTATGAGAAACAGTAACTTAGTAAAAAGTAGATAGAAATATAAAGGTCCCAAATATTGCAAGGGGTGCAACAGATTTATTTTAGTAGCCTGTGTGTCCCCAAGTGGAGGTCAACAGCAAAAATCCCCAATAGTGCAGGCTATTCCCACATTTGTCGCCTCTTACGATACATGCAGTGGGTAACAGCAGGTGTATTGTTTTCTCGATCTCCTACCTGCAGGGGATGTCAGTGCTTGTCTAAGTGCAAAACAGTTGATGAACTAACCTATCCAATAAATTAATAAACAAGTTATTGTTTCTCATACATCAAAAGAAAATGTACTGATTAAAATCTTAAACAAAACTAAAAAAGCTAATAAATCGCCACACCATTACATCATGAAAATTGGTTTCACAATTTAAAAAAAAAAGGTATAATTTTTAACTTTGAACTACATGTATATATATAGTTTTGGCTGTTATATATTTCAATCTCAACTTGGAACTACATGTATATATATAGTTTTGGCTGTTATACAGTTTTGGCTGTTATATATTTCAATCTCAACTTGGAACTACATGTATATATATAGTTTTGGCTGTTATATATTTCAATCTCAACTTGGAACTACATGTATATATATAGTTTTGGCTGTTATATATTT